CATTAGTTCCATCCTGGCTCAGCAGTACGTATGGCAGCAAGTATGTGGGAGGCTGGGCTGCTCCAGGCTCGCTCAGACACCCGGCTGTGCAGATGTTGCCAGAGGTGAGCCGGCGGACAGCAGTCACTCCTGGGGACCCCCCGCCCCATGTCCGGTCCCCTGGTGTGGGGGGTCTCGGCAGGGCCAGGGCAATGTGACCTGGCACTGAGGGTGGACACTGGTGTGGTTTGGTCAGCTCAGAGCCCTGGGGTGGCCATGGGGCTGCTGCAGATCTCTGGGGCTGGCAGAGCTTGGCAGAGATCCTGGCACCCTTCCTGGAGTGATGCTGGAACCACCCGTGTCCTTGGAGCAGGGGAGCAGCCGCAGCCCAAAGGACAGGCATCCCTTCCGAGCTGCTTGTCCCAGCAGCAGGCTGCAAGGGGCCCACCAGCTCCAGGCCAGCACTTGGGGATCCAAGGAGGCCTCCCAGTTCCCTGCCAGTGCCCAGGCAGCCCAGCTTCCTCCCACCCATTGCATGGGTCCAGCTCAGCTGGTTTTGGGCAGCCCAGGCTGGGGGCAGCCTGCACTCCCTCCTCAGAGCCAGATCAGCTGCATGGGGAGAGTTTCCAGCACCATCCCCCTCCCAGTCTCAACCCATCCCTCCCACCACAGGCTGGGGTAAGGCGCTGGTACCCACAGGGGTCCCCAGCCCTGCTCCCTGTGCAACACGGAGGGGGCCGCGGGGGGGCCAGGCCTGGCGTGTGGGATGCAGCTGTTGGCAGCGATGCAGCGGCGGGGTCGGGTAAGCTGGTAACAGCTGCCCGCGGGGAGCGGCTGCCTTCGGCTGCCTGGGAGAGCCCCACACAAAGCCAAGGCTGCTCCCGCTCCCAGGCGATCCCCGTCTCCACGGGAACCGTCCACCCTCAGCCGGATGCAGGGCAGGGAGGGCATAGCCGTGGGGCTGGACAGGAGGCAGATGGTGGGGGGGGGAGGCCCAACTGTGCCCTTGGCAGAGCCCCCGTGGATGGCAGGGGCTGGGACAGCTCAGCCGTGCCTGTGGCTAGCAGCCTATGAGCATGGCTAGCAGCCTGCAGGCATCTGATCCCCGTGGGAAGCAACCCCAGCAGCAGGATCTGCGTGGGCACAGGAGGCACCAGAGCCAGGCTGAGCCATTCCTTTGCCAGCAGGTGCCAGGGCAGGAGGGGTCTTGCCTGGCCAGGGCACTGTGGGGGGCTCCAGGGACTGACGCCCTCCAGCTCCATGCACATGGGGAAGTCATTGCTCCTTCCACACCCTATGAGGCAGCTGGGGGCAGGAAGAACAGATTCCAGGGAGCTGAGGGGGTTAACCATGCACAGAGTCCTCCTCTCTGAACAAGAATGTGAGTGATCTCCCTTCCTTGCCAAGTCCCAGTTACTCCAGAGGTGGCCAGGAAAGCAGAGCAGCCTCTCCCAGGCCAGCCCCACTCCTGGTCTCTGCCTGTAGCTCAAGGAGACCAGGATCTATCTGGTCTTTCCAGGGGAGCAAAGGGATCCCACATGGCAGCAGGGATGCTCCAGTAGCCACCACACTGCCAGCACTGGCCCCTGCCCACTGCTGAGTGTGGGGTGTTTGTGTCATGGCAGGGATGGAGTGGGACAAGCCCCCTCCTGCCCATGTCACCTCCCTGATCCCACTGGCCAGGGCAGCATTGCTGTGGTGCCCCCGTGACCCAGGGAGCTGGGTATCCTTAGGCTCTGCCTCTCCCACTCACTGCCAGAGCAGCCCCCACCTCCACTCGGGATGCTGCCAGCCCAGCAAGGGCAGGAAGGTGAGTGGGATCCTACCCAGACAGCCCCTACCTTGGCACGAATGCCAGGACACAGGACCAGGATGGAAGCATGACCTCCATCCCTGGGCAGGTGAGGGGGAACTCGCTGGCCTTGTTTGGTGGGCAGGCTGCAGCACCCATCAGCACCCATCCATCCCTCCTCTCCCACATCTCATCTCTTCCTGCAGCCTCCGACCCCGTCAGCTGCGAGGCTGTTATCAAATCCCAAAACACCTCTGCCCTCTGGAGTAGGAGCCTGTCAGGAGTCCCAGGTCAGACATAGGCTTGGGCTTCCAAAATGCTGGGAGGGAGATGCCAACCCATGTGGGCCTGAGCTGGCGAGGCCATTCCCAGCAGGAGGGACCGGCATCCAGGCCTATCCACCCGGTGCCACCACACACCCACATCCTTTGAGATGCCTCTGGCTCATGCCGAATCCTCCTCGACTTCCCCGTGTCTGCCATACCAAGCGGCATTCCTGGGAAGGACGGCCGAGGGGGAAGCAGAGCAGAGGAAATATAAACAGTCCTGTGCAGCTACGCTGGGGAACAGAAGCATGAGAGCGCCGAGTGTGCGGTGCTATAAATAGGCAGCCCAGAGTCAGGCCAACTTTTTCAAAGCTTCCCACGGTCTCCTTGGGAATGTGGGATGCTGTGGACCTTCCCCCAGCCCGGAGGAAGCCGCTGCCGAGGCTGGGAGTCAGGTACCCCCGGGGTGACCCCAGCGTGGGATACCATGATGATGAGGTGTCGGGGGAGGAAGGCTAAAAGTCTCTCTATGTCCTGATGCGCCTTCCACTGACAATGACGAGTGGTCCCCAGCCAGCCCCAGACTGACAGCTGGACCCTGGGCAGTGGTGGCATGTTGGGGTCCATGGAGTCCTTCCTGGCTGTGGATACAGCTGGGTCACTCCAACCTGGATCTCCACCTTGCCACAGCATCACCCTGCCACCACAGCGATGCTGCCCATGGAGACCCTCTTCCTGCTGCATCTCCCACTGTGGCAGGGACTGATGTGACCCATGGGACGGTGGCCACGGTTTGGGAGAAGGGCTGGAGTCCCTCTCCCACCCCGGGACTTGGAGCTGGGCTGGGACAGCACCAGGTATGCTTGGGCTGTGAGCCCCAGCTGCGCCCCGTCACCGCGTTCTGCCCCCAGCACAGTCCACAGGGTGGGGGGACAAACCCACGGTGGGGACAGGCCTGCAGGGACGCTCTCCCAGCTGTCCCCAGGCACCCTCAGCCTCGGCCCTGCTCATTAAAACAGCTCATTACAACACGAGCAGGAGCGTGCGCCGGCCCGGTGCGCGCGGCCGTTCCCTCGCCCCCGGTCCTGCCGAAACGCCGGCAGAGGAAGTTTCTCGTGAGAACAGAGCCAGCTCCTCTCCATCCCACACTAGCTGTGCTCAGCAGCAGCCCCACAGCTTCCCAGAGTCAGCTCCTGTCCTGGTTGTGTCCCTGTCCCGGGAGCCAGGTGCTGGCCAGTTGCACACACAGCCCCTGGCACGAGCGTGTGGGGGACAGAATGTGGCCCATGGGCTCTGTACCCAGGAGAAGGTGGCCAGGGCAGTGGGCAAGTGGAGATGCCACTGTAGAAGCCCACGGCGTACCCAAATCACTCCCCTGCCCTGTGCTGGTGACCCACCTGGGGATCAGCTGGGTTATGGGCACCTTCCCAGTGCACTGACTCCCTGCTCAGCACTGTGTGCCCTGTCCCACCAAGGGCACGGCCCAGGGGGACATGGGATGGAGGTTTGGTGGGGTTGGCACAGGAACTGCAGGAGGGCGAGGGCGGGAGCAGCGATGCTGAGCCCTGGCAGAGCTGAAGCCGCGAGGGAGAGGATGTGACTCGCTTCCAGGGAGAGGGTCAAGGCGAGGAGGGCGACCACCAGCACCTGTGGGAGGGAGAGCAGGCGGCTGGGGCAGCGTGGCCTTGGGAGGGGATAAGGCAGCGGACTCACAGGGTTCTCCAGGAGGACAGCAGAGCTCAAACCTGGACCCAGGTCCAGGACCTGCTGCCAGGCAGCAGCAGCATGGCTACATGGGGCGGCACAGCAGGACCCACTGCAGCCCTGGCACCTACACTGCCAGTACAGGGGTACCAAGGAGGCACGGAGAGCAACTGTGTGAGTACAGCCCTAACACTCAAGTAAGGGCCTGCAACGAGGGGCTGAGCGTCCAGCAGGATGAGGCCACTGCTCTCCCAAGGGAAATCATGGCCCCGGGTACATACCAGGCACCCCACGGGGTCAGCCAGACCCTGTCCACGCTGCTCTCACTGCGTCACACACTCCTGCCTGCTACTGGGACATGCTCAAAATAGCTGCCACGGGCGTAGCCGGGAATGGGGGGTCAGGCCCTGGCGAGGGCATGGCTGGGGTGTGGGCAGCCTGCCAGTCACCCTTTTCACCCACTCTCAGTCGCTGCCCCATGTGTGCTGCATCCACAATACCCGAGAGCAGCATCAGGTACTAGGAGGAGAGACCCCTCCTCCCTGAGCCTCTTATTTTAGCTCCTTCTCATTCTTCTCCCCCTGCTCTAAAAAAAGGAATGTTTAATGAGGCAGGCTTGGCAAATTAAGAAAACCAGCCGGAGGAGCAGCCCAAGGCCGAGGCCGGCTCTTGGCACCACCGAGTGCCGCGGAGAGCCGGGGGAGAGCCGGCGGTGCCGAGCCCTCCGCCCGCTGCAGAGGAAACCCAGCCCGCGGCGCCGTGGGGGCCAGCCTGGCTGGAAAAACCATCCCACCGTTCACCTCTGCAAAAAAACAGGCAAGTTCTAAGCCAGGAGCTCCCGAGGTGCTGGCACCGCACCGCAGCTGTGGCATCACCTGGTTCTGTAACCGCGCTGGCCCGGGGGGAGAGAAGGAGCATTTCCAAATTAACCAGCCCTCCAGCAATGGGGAAAAAAAGAAACAACAAAACCCAGGAGTGCTAATCCCCTTGGCTAAGCAAGCTCTGCGCAAACTTCCAGAGGATTTATGGCATTTTAAAGTTTTCCCCTTCAGCACAGTACTTCTCGAAGACTAAACATCTCCATCCACTCCGAGCTGGCCGGGGCAGGGCTGCAGCAATGAAGGTGCATATTTCTCTTGGCAAACGTGGATCCCCAGCCCCAGGCTGGATCAGACAGCAGTGGAGGGAAGTGAGCTGCCTGCTTTGAACAGCCACCATCATTCACACGTTATTTTTAATAGCTCAGCGAGACAGAGTCCACCCTCCCCAGGAGACTTGGCTCGAGCCCATCGCACTCACGGCTCCGCCGAAGCACTGTTAGACAAGCTGACAGGTCTGGCAGGGGGAGAAGTGGGGGGAGGCGGGGAGGGGAGCACTGGGGCCACGGATGGATAGTCACAGGATGAATTTGGGACCAGGTAGTGGGACCTTCCAGCCCTGCCAAGTGGCAGCTTGGAGCAGGAGAGTGTCACGGGGGCCACTGGAGGGCTGGAAGCACTTTGCCCTGGCTCGCCGGCACGTGTCACCACTGGGTTTATGTTTATATATTGTGGTGGGGTGTTTATAAGGCTGCCTGAAGGGTTAGGGCACCATTTGTACCCACAGGAAGCACCCAGGGGCCTTACAGGAGCTCGGAATCCAGGTTGTGGGCAGGAGCAGATGGAAAGTCCTGGTGCAGTGCTGGAGCACTGGCTCCCTCCAGTTGGTGCCCAGGGTTACCTCTGTGCCTGAGCACAGTGGCTTCCTGAGCCCATGGGCAGCAGGAGAGGCACCAGGAGCATCAGAGCCTGCTGCAGCCATCCCACCCTACTCTCCACTGCATCCCTCCCTTTGGGCCCACAGCCATCAGCAGCCAGAGCCCCCAAGCCACAGGAAACCTCTAATAAGAGGCTGTTTGAACTTGACGTCAAGGCTTAAGTTCTCTGCTTATTTCCTAATTGCTGTTATTTGCTGAGCTGTGCAGATCTGGCCACCCAGCCCTCACTCTTGCCAGGTCCTCATCCCCAAGAGCCTTTGGTCCAGCTCCTGCAGGGCAGGACAGAGCCTGGGGGCCTGAACAGCCCGGGAGCCCACAGCCCCTACGTCCCCTGGGCTCGGGATTGCTGCCTGCAGTGTGCCAGGGCACTGGGGGAGATCACCAAACTGGGTGGGAGGGCACTGGTGCCAAAAAGGAGGCAGCCCCATTCCCCCTGCCTTCAGTCCCTGCCTCCATGTTGCTTATCCCAAGTCCTGCCCCAGCTGGGATGTTTTGGGGGACCAAAGCCCACCCCCCCAGCAGACACCCAAGTCGGGCAGGGCTGCCTGCAGCACAGCCAGAGGGGATGGTACCTGGGAGGCAGCTGGGCTGGCTCGGGGGTCAAAGATCCGCAGTTTCTTGTCCTGGTGAGATAAAAGAAAACAGAGGAGGGTTAAGGACCCTGGGGCCAGTGGGATTGTCAGGATGTATTAGGCAGAAGGCTGCAGCGAGCAGCCCCTCTCCTTCCTGCCCATCACTCTCCTGCCTGAAGTGTCTATTCCTATGGATGGCTTGCACTGTGTCCTCCTAGTCCTGTCCCACATTGTGGGCAGGGGTGCACCCCCAGCACCCCCAGAGCCTCACCAGGACTCCAAGACACTCTACTCCCAGAGAAGGAGGGGGCCTCCTAAAGTACAGCCAGGGCTGGGCATCCTGGCAGTGCTGGAGGGGAGCAAGCCCTCTCGTGCCTGGCATCCCTGCACCAAAGGGGGCACGGGACCCCCTTCACAAGGGCTGGCAGGGCACAGAGGCAGCAGAGGGGTGCCCTGGTGCCAGCCTTACTGCCAGGGTGCTGTTTGGGGAGCACACACTGCGTCAGCCACACGGCACAGCACGGGGGCTGCCCCACATCCCAGATGGCACAGCTTGGTGTTGTACCCTCTGTGCTCAACCCGCACGCTTGGCAGGGGCTCCAGCCACAGCCGGGACTCCAGCTTAGCCCGCACTCTCTGCATCCTTGGCCTCCGAGCGCCATCCCGAGCCCACCGGCTCCGCAGGACCGTCTGCGCCCTTGGCGCGGGGAGGGGGCCGTGCTCTCAGCCTGCGGGCTGGGTCTGTGTGCTCAGACCTGCTTGCTCAGCCTCCAGGCATGGCCTGGGGGGCTCCTGGCTTGGACGCTCAGGTTGCCCGCCCAGCTTGCCCGCCCGGCCGCCGTGCGAGCCCCGCGAGCGGCCGGCGCCATCTAGTGCCACATCCCAGCGGTACCGCCGACCTCATTCCTGCCCTTCTCTACCCCGAAACTTCCCGTCCCTCCACACTCCCCACCCCTGGAAGTGCTCAAGGCCAGGCTGGATGGAGCTCTGAGCAGCCTGGTCTAGCGGAATGTGTCCCTGCCCACGAGATGAACTTTAAGGTCCCTTCCAACCCAAACCAGCCTGATTCTATGAAACCGAGCACACCAGGGTGCAGCTGGTGGCCAGCCCTGTCATGCTGTGCCACAGTGAAGTCACCCACGTGTGCCACTCACCTTGCAGGAGGTGCCAAGGAGGTGGCCATCTCGCTTCCAGGTCAGGCTCTGCAGCTGGTCCCCGTGGGAGTCCAGGGCTGCAGGAGGAAAGCAGGGTCAAGAAGGGTCCCTCCCACGGATGGGGCAGAAGTCATCGCTCTCCCACCTGGAACACTTCCCAGGGGAACTGATCTGTCCTTTCTGAAGGGTTGGTGGCAGCCAGGACCCAGTGGGACACTGCTGTGTCTGTGCAGGGAGCATTCCTGAGCTGCTGGAGCCCCACAGGCCTGTGCTGCCACCCACCTCCTCTCGCTCTCAGGTTAGCTGAGGTCTGGGTGAGCAACCACCCACGGCACCCACATCTGCCCACGCCCTGGGACGTGCAGGGAGAGGGACACCCTGGGCAGCACCAGTGCCTTTTACAGCACTGCACCAGAGCGTAGGGAGCCTGTGCACAGGCACGAGGGACTACGGTGCTCCCGGCCCAAAAAGCCACCCCAGCTGCCTGTTCCACGACACCAAGGTCAGGACTTGGGCTCAGGCACCAGCACTGCAGACCGACATTTCAGGCAGTCGTGGCCTTGCCTACCTGTCAGGGGCTGCTGCTGCCCCACGTCCCAGACGGTGACTCCCTTCCCTGCGCCGCTGGCCAGGACTCCATCAGCTGTGGGGTGGAACTGCAGCACGTCCACTGGGCCCCCCCCAGGCCCCAGGGTCAGCCCCGCACCACTGGGCATGTCCTGGCCACTCTCGGGCAGGCGCCACACCTTCACCTGCAGCCCCAGGGAGAGGTGGGTCAGTCCCCAGGCAGGTGAGCAGGACCCAGCTGGGTGCCTGGGCTTGCTGCTTTTCCAGGCTTTGTTCCCTGAGGACAGCAGGTGACCCCTGGTTGCAGCTCAGATCCCAGACAGGAGAAGCTGATCCTTGTCTGACACCATCTGCTCTGTCCCCCACAACCTGGGGATGTCCCACTCTGCTCCCCAACTATGCTCCACCCCACACTCCTCTTACTCCCATCATTCCAACCCCATCTCCTCCAGGACTCCACAGTGAATCCCAGGGACATGGGGTGTCCCCTTGGGACCCCTATCACTGAGCACTCACCATCTCATCAGCAGAGCCTGTGGCCAGCAGGAGCTGATCGAAGGGTGAGAAGTCAAAGTCTGTGACCACGTCTGGAAGGAGAAGGGCAGAAGTTTGTCCCCACCTTCCCCCTGCAGACAGCGTGGCAGTCCCTTCCCTCTTCCCCAGCCTGATTCCTTCCCTACACACACACACACACACGGGCAACCAGGGGCAGATCCAGACCCACTGAGGCGTTTTGGAGCAGCTCAGCTTTGCTGTGAGTGCCTGAGCCCATCCACACTGTCCAGCAGGTCTTGCACCCCTTTGGCAGGGGATGGGGGCCCTGAAGGCATCTCCCTGTCTAACCCATCACCACCCACACGTGGCTATGATGTCCAGATGAACGTCCCCCTGAGGCACAGGGAGCAGCACGGACAGCACAAGGCTGTCTGTGCTGACCAGATGCTGGAGGCCATGGCCTGCTGGAGCCATGCCGGTACAAGGCTCCCTTTGTAACACCCTGGCTCGGGATGCCAGCAGCAGGGACACTCCTCGCAGCTCTGGCAGCAGGGCCCAGCGGGAGGAACGCTGGCACCATCAGCAGCAGCCCCTCGGATGCATTTGGCACGCTCGGAAAAGTAGGTCACTGTGTACTTTCCTGCTTCCAGGAGACAGGCCCCAGAGGCACGAAGAGCAGGCAGCTCGCTCTGCTGCATCCGCCTGGGAGGAGAGAAAATCCCTTCCCTGCTATGGAGGCACTGCCGTGGCACAGCACGGCTTCAAAGGGCTCGTGCTAATCCCATTAAGAGGCCATGGATGTTGGGCTGGCTCCCATGCACCCCTCTGGCACTCCCGAGGAAGCAGCAGAGCTCAGTGGCTGGTTTGCCAACACAAGGAAGCTCCTGGTGCCAGAGGCCAAGGTGGCCCAGGCAGGGCACACTGTGCAGTCCTCTGGCCATGCCAGGGCACACACACAGGAAGGTGGTGCTGGGACTGGGTCCCATCTTGCTGCTCTGGTCTAATTTTTGGGAAGTGGGTGGTCAGCACGCCCCAGGCTGGCACTGCTGCTCCAACAACCAGGAGAGGGGCACCCTGAGATCCCCACAAACCCTCCCCGTGCCCGGGCAGGAGGTAGAGCCCTGTTCCTCTGCCAGCAGCGATGCTGCCAGTGCCTGTCCCCTGCAGCACTTGCTCTGTCCACGTCAGAGCTGCTGGTCCAGCCTGTTCCTCCCGCCACTGCAGCCAGGTACAGCCGTGGTGATGCCATCCCCAGCCTGGCACTGGGTGTACTGGGAATTTCAGGGCGTGCAATGAGTAATGTGGAAAGAGTGCGTAGTAGAGCGTGAGGAAGAGCTACATGTCCAGGCTTTGTTGCAGCTTGAGAGATGAGGGAACACAGATCGATTCGGCTCCAGCCTGGTAGTCTTCTGTGGTCAGCATAGCTGCAGGTGCCTTGTGAGACTTGTGAGGGTCACCCTGCCCATGGGTGATGGTTCCCTGGGAATCCAGCAACTCCCCATGCCCCTTGCCTGGCAGGCAGCCCACCACAGCCTCCAGGGCTGGGACTCAGCACCAGAGCCCCCCAGCACAGCCCACATGAGGCCAAACGCCTCCTGTGGAGGTGGAAGGTGGGACCTGACACCCACCTGAGTGGCAGCAGAGCTGGGACACGGTCCTCTTGCCCCCATCCTCGCACTCCAGCGGCACAATGCCCAACACACCTACAGAAGAGGGCACAGGAGCAGGTCACCAGCCACCCACCAGCCTGACCGTTCCCTATGGGATGCTCCCAGGAATCCCCCAGCCTGGGATACATTGAGGGGCACCCAGCTTTGAAATGCAAGCCAAGAGGTGTGGGACTTGCAGCACTTTTGAAGATCTCAGGGAAAGCCTCCTCCCCTCACCCTCGTGTCTCTGGTGTCCGTGGGGCTGACCCCCCCACGATGGATGATTTGGGACAAATCCATCCCACCCCACGAGCTGTGCAGGGGACCCCCTGTGCCTCACCTGCTGCCTCAGCATTGAATGCAATCCAGCAGCAGCTGGACTTCACATGGTTCCCACAGGATGCGATGGAGCCTGCTCGGATACCCCCAATCCATGCCTAGGATGGAGAGGGAAAACTCATGTCAGGAGTTGCCTCTGTTATGGTGAGGCCTGATGCCATGGCCAGAGCACAGCTGGAGGGGAGACATTGGCACTGCATGGCTAGAGACCCTCAGCCCCAGTGGAGCTCCCATGCCGATGGAGACCTGGAGGCTGCCAATACCAATGGGATTGTGCCAGAGGCACATTTGTAGGGTCCTACTCTGTGGGATGGCCAGGACAATGTGGCTGCTCCTGCTTCCAACACGAGGTGCAGTCCCCTGCTGGGGCTGGAGGATGGCAGGCAGGAGCATCCTGGCTCCCAGCACTGCCTCTCCCCAGAACTGTCCCAGCCCTGGGCTCTGCCACTGAGGGAAGGGCTCAGAGGACTTTGTGATAAAAACTGAGGTCAGGGAGTCTGGGATGGGACAAAAGCTGTTGGTCTGTGAAGCACCACAGGGTCAGGCTGTGGCTGACTGAGGCAGCAAGCTTCCCACATGGACATGCAGCCAAGGAACTTCATGACAGCTCCAAATCCAGAATCCCACTGTGCAGTAGTGGGAAACATCCCACTGCTACTCCACAGCTGAGCACTGTACCTGTGGGGCACTGAGACACCCTGCATCAGCCAGACCTGCTCAGATATCCGACCTCAAGTGGCCACCAGGACCAGGAGCTTCCTGGCACACCCAGAGCCAAGTCCAACCCTTGAGCAATGGCAATGGCAGGTGTTTCATGGGTGCCACCATGACTGTGTGCCCATGGCAGCCACTGGCATCACAGAGAGCTGCAGCAGGTGTCTGGAGCAGTGGACACCCCACAAAACCAGGCAGACACCCTCGAAGGGGAGGGAGCTGCGTACAGGAGCCCCGGGTTTCCTCTCCTTGCACAGCTTCCTTTTGAGGCCTGACAGGGAGCAGCGGTTCCTGCAGCACTTCCTCCAGCCCTCACAGCTTGGTACAGACCTCTTAACCCCTTACCTGCCAAAGGGAGGTTCCTCTGCCTGCACCTGGTGGGTGGGCAGGGGGCTGCAGTAGGGATGGGGAACAGGTCTGGAGCATGAGCAAGACCCAGGAGGAAGGGTCCTACAAACTGCATCCCATCACTCTGCACTGGTCCCTCGAGGGGGGACACCAGCCACCTCTGGTCCCCAGCTTCCAGGGGTCCCACACAGGACCCCTGCGCTGAGGTTTTGCAGAGGGACCACTGAGCTGGTCCATCCTGGCCCCACAACTTCCCTGTGCACAGGCAGGAGCCCTCAAGGAAGTGATCCTTTCCTCAGCGTGCCAGCACGGCCGGGAAAGCAGATGGAACCATCCTGGCTACATCCCTAGAACAAACTGTGAGCTCTCAGGGGGCATTTGCCAGCAGAGCCCCGCAGACGCTGCCCGAAGAGACTCAGATGTGATCCCTCATGTTTACACTGCGCTTCCTGATCCGGCCAGGTCAGGTGTCTGCCTGAGCCTCCACAAACAACCCGCTCAGCCAGGGACCCAACAGTGTTTCCCGCCGTGACACCTGAGATGGGTTTTGAGACGAGACATCCACCTCCCACCTCCTGCCCTGCAGAGCTGGGTGGTGTGGCCTTGATTCCCAGGGATACGTTTCATGCCGCGTGGCCCTTTGGAAAGGCCACCTGGCACAGTGGATGCCTCCTTGCACACAGGGGCAAGAGCCCCCTGTCCCTCAGAACAACCCCACCGTGGGAACCGACCCCAGGGCAGTGGTGACGGGGACGCCCCTGCCTGGAGGATGCTGTATCCACACAGCCAAGTGTCCCAGCACCCACACCCCCCCGGCACACACGCTCTGCCCTGCCAGAGCCTCATCTGAACCCTGAGGGTCGCAAACATTTGACCAGCTGAGATTTTGATGACCCGCCACCTGTCCTGCAGACACACCAACGCTGGCATGCCATGGTGGGGGGTGGATGCTCAAGGCTGGGACAGTGGCAGGGGCCACTACGTCCCCTCCTACAGCTGAAGCTCAGAAGGATGTTTTGGGTGCTTACCAGGTCTGCAGAGTTGTGTGAGCACAGGTACAAGGGTGGCTTGGGAAGTTACAGGGAAGGAGTGCACTGACATCCAAGGGTTGGGAGCAGCACCAGCCTCACTAATGGTCACAGTGCTGAGAAGATGCTTGGAGTTCCCAGCTCAGGAAGCCCCCAGAAGGGCTGTGTCCTAATAACAGTCCCCAACAAAGCTCATCTGGCATAACCCACCCCTGACCCCACATCTCTGCCAAACCTGCAGGGACAGGGATCCAAGGGAACGCCCTGGCCAAGCTCCACAGCCCTGTGGAGAGCACGGCAGGATTACCTACTGCCAACACCACGCGAAGAGGTGGATCATGACACCTGGCACGATTGGGGCTGGTTATTCATGGGGCTGAGACTGGAGCTGGGCACCACATGTTGCCCAGCGAGACCCCCCGGACCTGCCTGGCCTCAGCAGTGCCGAGCTGTGCAGCTCACGGGCAGGGTGAGGGAGCTCAGCACCATCCCGCGGGGCCCAGCGCTTCCTCTTTGCCTGCGGAAGTGGGATGGCAGGAGTGGGGCAGCAGGACTGGGGCGGCAGGACTGGGGTGGCAGGAGCGGGGTGGCAGGAGCGGG